AAAAACAATAAATTTAAGTCAAGATTATTATATATTATATTATATATTATTATATGTTATATCGCTCAATTATTCGATAATTATTACGACAATAGTTTTAAATAATGCAAAAAAAAATAAATTATAATAATTTTAAATACATATTAATTTATATAACGAAACAATTATATTTAACATTTTTTTCGATTTTGAAAATCAAAGTTAATTGATCTCAGAATTATACATTATTGAATTTTTTTTCACCAACATTAATGTAATATTAAACATTGTTCTTAAAAAAATTTGTGCATATTTTATTCATTTTAAACGATAAACGATAAGTAACGAATTACTTTCGATAGTATTTTTTATTGATTTGCTTTGATATTTTTTTTTCTCAATCATTAATTTTCTTCTGCTATTAATTTTTTTCAGAATGAAAGTATTGTTCATGCAGCATATGATACGCTTTGATATAATTTAAATCCACGGGACAGTCGAATTGTATTATTAATTTTAATACAAGCTCAAAGAAAATTAATACTTTCAGCTGGGAATTTTGTGACGCTTTCTGTCCAAACATTTGCTAGTGTAAGATTATTATAATATCAAATATCATTATTTTCAAGATATTCACAATTATAAGAACATATTTATAATTTTTGAATATCTAATAATTATTATTAAAAATTAAGAAAAATCTAATCATTATTAAAAACTTTCTATATTATTTAATTTATAATATAATTAATTTTTTAGATGCAAAAAGTTTCGGCTTCGTACATTTCAATATTAATGACAATATATTAAAAAAAACAATTACACTATATCATTGAATTTAGGTGTGTCTATCTAATATATATTAAAGAGTAATATTAAATAAATAAAGATATAATTTTAAAATATCTATTAATTATTGAAAATTTCTTTAAAATTTATCTTTAAAATTTCTATAATTTAAAATATCGCTAAATTATTCATGATTATTAATGAAATTTTTAAATATCATATTTTAATATCTCAATATCCTATTTTAATATTTCAAGGTAAATATCACATATTGCATTCAATATATAATTAGACTGAAATTATAAGAATTATAATTAAAGAATTATAATTGTAAGAAAATTAAAGAAAATTGTAATTGCAAGCAAGAATATATTCTGTTATTGCTACAATTACAAATGGAAGAGATTATTTTTCTTTCTTAAAATAAAACAATTATTGATAATAACTTTTTTAGTCTTTAAATTTTTTGCTTAGAGATTATTTGTGTAATAATATTTAAATAATTTTATTTAATTGATAATTATATTAAGAAGAATTAGGATACAGTGGGTATTTAAATATGCAACTATTAAATCCAATTAATCTACACTCAAGATATATTTTATTTAATTTGCGACTATTCTGATATTATTCGAGAAAAACTTTAATTATTTTTTGGTTTAGATTTACTATTCACAAAAACTGCAAAAATAATTAATTAAGGAATGAAATTTTTCTAATGAAATAGACCTTTTTACTAAGGAAAATATCTAATGAAATTATTAAAAATTAATTTTTTTTTAATAAAAAAGCAAAATAATTCGACACAGTGATAATAATGATATTTAATAATGGCGATCATCTTTCCTGTTGTTTAATATATAACGCAATTAATCGATGGAATTGCAAAGCGTTATTAAATACTATTGTCTTCGTTATATGTTTTGTCAAATTACATTATTTTTATACATAATATATAGACTATTATATCGTATGAAACTTAAAATATTTTAGTATTTTTTTTTTATTTTTTGCGACAAAATAATTATCTGAATGAAAGAATTTTAAATTATTTATTTTTCAATGATTTTATTAATTATATCATTGTAGAAATTAATCTTTGTATAAAAATATTGTATCAAAAAATAAATAAATATACTTACAATATAACCCGACTAGTATGTCAGTTGCTATAAATGAAATTATTCGAATTTCTATGATGTATTTCAATGTTTCTCAATTGAAGATAGAAAGCAAGATATAAAAAATTTTGAAGTAATTTAAGCAAAATTTTTCAATCAAAAGGTTAATATAACTATAAAAAAGAAAAAAATAATTGTAAAAGAGGGGACAAATGATAGCTAATCAGTGATAGCTATTATCGATACATTTAAGTTAATTTAACTTGGCTGAATATTATGTTAATATATGACATCAAGATAATAGATATTGATCATAATAAGAATTATTAGTTGCTTATAGACGATAATAGATATTGATCATAATAAGAACTATTAATTGCTTATGGACGTTGTTGAATGCTAGTATACCATTCGAGGAAGAAACATTTATCAATCTAGAACAGATTATTTAATATCAAAGTTGATGAAAAGATAAAAAAAACAAAAATATATAAAGATAATACAATATAGAATATAAATACGTGTTGAGTATATACGTGTTCTTAAAGAAAAAAATTTTTTTTTAAATTGTATATAAGATATTAGAAATTATAATGTCACTTAAAACTATAATATACCTGTCCTACAGAAATTTGTCTTCGTTTAATCAGTATTTGGCCATATTCTTCGTATAAAATTGTACATCGTATTTTTTGGATAATCATGATGGGTATCTCCACAGTATTTCAATTTTGGTTTTGTATTTTTTATTTTAAAACAGCAGATTTACCTGATCTGTTAGATAGCACTGTGACTTTGTCAAACACAATTATAATGAATTCATAAAATGGAAAAATCGTGAAATCGAAGAGAAACTTCATTTTAAGCAATATTGTCAATTTAAGCATAATTAAGCATAATCAATATTATCAATTTAAGCATAATTTGTATTTGAATATTCTGTAGCTTTCACGGCTGGGATGTTATTTTCTGCGGCATTAGTAAGTTAATTATTTTTAATTTTTATTTATCATTATTATAACTATCATTTTGTACAATCAAAAAATTATACAAAACAAATTGATTATTTTTATTTCGATGAATATGACCATTTGTAATAATAAATTTTTATATACAAAATGTTCCAAAAATCAACCAACAAATTTCAAATGATAATTTTCTGGAATGATATTAAACAACTTTTTCATTTATAAAAATTTTCGTTTTAATATTGTTAAAAAATTTATTAAATTTTTTAAAGAAAAATAATGGCCAATCATAGAATGCATAATTTGAACAAATCGTTGAAGCAACATGTATTTGAACAATTGTTAAAGAACCCAACTATTAATCAAATATATATACATATTCAACATTACAATTGCGGTGCGACAAGTCTACATACTTTATGATTGATTAATATATTTCATTAATAACTCGTTAAAAAAGTTGAAACGAAAATTTTCGCAAAAAAAGTTGTTTAAAATCATAGAAAAATCAATTAAGTCTATCAGTTGACTTTTAGAATATTTTGTTATAATCTATATCAATATTTCTCAACCAATATATCACGATAAACTAATCTCTTTAGAATATCTGTAATATGCAAAAATTTTATGAAAACTTTATTAAATATAAGGATATTTAATATTTGTTAATATAATGTTAATAAATATAATTATATATACTCATTTAAGAAAGTGAAAATTTTGAAAATTTCACTGTTGACAAAACAATACGCTATTAACTTAACAATATACATAAGACTTAAATTGTGAAAGTACTGTTATAATTATTCTAAGATATTAAATATCAAGATATATATGTAAATTTTTTTTTAATAAGATATCACTGAAGAAATATTTTTTTAATATTTTTAGTATTTATATTTTTCTAATTTTTAATATTTTGTTTCCTAAAATATAACTATTAATACATTAACTATTAATACATAATACAGGTATTACATATATCATAATAATACAGATAGAGCAATTTTAAATATATAAATTATTCAAATTTAAACTTTACTTTATTATTCAATTGTAAAAAATATTGTATTAACAAAATTAAGTTAAAAATTATTAAATAAAATTGTATTAAAAAAATAAAAAAGTTCTAAAATTTGGTATTTCAATATCAATTTTTGATAAAAAAAATTTTTCATAAAAAAAAATTATTTTACTTATAAAAATTATTTTACTACTTTCCCTACATATACATAAATTTTTATTAAGATCAGAATTTTTAATTAAGAATTAAGAATAAATTTTTTTATAATATAGTGTTCGAATATTTTCATGAGTATTTAGTATATGTAAATAACTAATAATAATAAATTGAAAATTGTAATTCATAGATTACAATTTTCATATATGATTATATAATATATACGATTAATGTAATGATAAAAAATTCTTATTACATTTTAAATGTGGAGATATGTTACATTATAAATAATTTTATATTTTATTTTATATTTAATACATATTATATACTTTTTTAAAAAATAATAAACTATAACAGATATATTATCATTAAATAAATAAATAAAAATTTTCATCATAATAATGAATTGGGAAATATTGATCTATATATTGCGAATATCTCACAAAAACAATATTTACTTGTTTATTTTCAAATCTTATAAATTCATTCAATGATTTATATAATTAGTATAATTATATGATAAATTAAATGAAAATACTAAAATTTTTTATAAATATAATTGTATTAAATTTTATTTTATTATTCATATTATTATATGAAATAAAAATTTAAATTAATTTGATATGAAATAAGTTGGTTGCATATATTTTTTACAATTTTCTTTTAATATTTATCTTATCTATTTATATTTATGTAATATTCTTCTTGTCTATTTATTTTAGATTTCTTTAAATGTTCTGAATTTGATTATAATTTTTATATTTAATTTCTATTTTTTATTTTTTTTTATAATTTTGATAATTACATTATATTAATATTATTATTATTATATAATTACATTTTATGATAGTTATAATAATTATCATTTTAAAATTCTCTATATTCAAATATAGAGATCGTATAAAATGATTGTATAAAATAATGTAAAAATATTAGTTATCTTTTTTTAATTATTATATATAGGTATTACATATAGGTAGTCAAATAGATATCACATGTCAAGAACTTATTAAGATTCCAAGCTATAAAGGAGAAATCATATATATTAAAAAATATTATTGTCAAGCATCAAAGAATTCTTCATTTATCTGAAAATGTTAAATATTTATTTCTATATACATCATTGATACAATTTTTATCAAATATTTTAGATATGCTTTCTAGGATTTATTTTTGTAAATGTGAGTCAATTTGATTTATATTTCTTGTTACATTTCTTCTATTTAGGATTATAATGTATTATAAATTAAGGATTATAAATGTAAATCGCTTATATTTAATGTATTTCTAAAAAATATTTATATATTTATATATTTATATATATTATATATTTATTATATTATATTTATATATATTTATATATTTATATATATTATATATTTATATATTATATATATATTGAATTTTGTATCAAAATCCACAGAAGAAGTATAAACATATATTTAAAAATTAAATAAATATTTCAGAATATTTAAATTTAGAATAATTTATATTTGCCAATTAATTATTTTTAAATAATCTGTAAATTAAATAATTCTAAAAAAAATTCATTTGTTAAAAAATCATATGATGAATTTTCTTTAATTACATTCTACAAAAAAATTTCTATAGAGAAAGCGAATATACAGAATTATCGAATATTTGCACTATGATCAATCTAATATTTGAAGAAATTTTTCAACTTTAATACTTTAATATTTTTTAATATCATTGAAATGTAAAAACATAATTTAATATTAAAATGATTGATCAGTTAAAAAATATTTTATTTCATTTATTTCCAAATATGTCTAAATTTGTTATAAGTAGACACTTTCGTATCTGTATCCGCATTATCTGAATATCTTAATATACAAACATTCTATTATCCGTATATTTTATTATCCATACAATGTTTCATAGCGATTTTTACATATAACATACTTAAATTACATACAACATAAATACATACAACGTATTTAAATGTAATAAAATAAATACTTTCTTGTGTTCGCCCAGAATATTACATAAATTAAACATAATCATATCAATTAAATCTGAAGCAAAAAACAGAATCGCAATGATAAGTAAACGAAAACGTACAGTTTTAACTATTGAAGAAAAATACAAAATAATTAAAGATATTGAAAGTATGATAATACAACAAAATTAACAAGAATACATGGTAGATGATTCAATGATTTGAGGCGCAACAAAAATGTAATTCTATGCAGTTGTTTACAATAAAAAATTGTGATATGACTTAATGACTAGAAAGATATGAGACTCTTAGATGTTGAAAGAAACTGTCAATTTTGTTCATTTCTATTTGAATAAATGAAATTTAATGCAAAAGAAAGTAATTATTCTATTATGTGAAAATTCCACTATCCGGCTACTTTTATCTTCCTATTAGTTCGGATATAGGAGTCTCTACTGTATTCAAATTCATAAATAATATTTACATTATTATGTTGCATTTAAATTCAGTTATTATTGATGAAAATAATATATTATAAAAAAATAAGTTAAAAAATAAATCACACGTAATCACATAATAACAAAATAAAACTTAAAAATATTAAAATAATACTTTGCATTGCCGTATTTCCACATTTAATTAAACAAAAAATTTAAACAACAAACAAGTATTAAAAGAAAAAAGCATGCAGAAAAAAACAAAAAATTTACTATACAAATATATAGTTTCTTTTGTTCTTATAGTTATTATTATATAGTTCTTATAGTTATTTTTATGTAGTTACATAAAAAAAAACATTTATAGCATTGAAATTTAAAAAAAATATATAATTGTCTTGAATAATTTTTTTACTTAGCATCATATTTACTCTTTTAACTTACTAATTTTTTTTTATTTTCTATTATTAACAATAGATGCGATTGAATAATTGTAATGATTGAATATTTATTAATAATATAAATCGTGTTAATTTTTTAAACTTTTCTTATCTAATATATGCAGAAAATTATTTGAATATGATAAAAAATAATTGGAACTTAAAAAAACTTAAAAAACATGTTTTATATTATTATATCAAAATCGACAATTTATATAAGATTTTTTTATTAGATATTTTATTAGATATTTTACAATTTTCATCCTTATGTATATATTCTGTATTATCACTTATCATTTCGCTTTAGGTACTGAAAAAGGATTTACAATATTCACAAAATGTTTCCTTTATTATATTGCTGCGAATTGCGAAGCATTTATTCTTTGCTATACAGGAGAATATCTTATGTTTAAAGTAAAATATATACTAAAATACATACTAAATTAAATACATTGACTAATTCTTGAATTGCTATAATTTTTAATTACATTCTTTAATTGCTTTGAATTGAAAATTATTGTATGTACATCATATAAATTATCTTAAATTATGAATTTCATTAATTTTTATATTATANTATATATAAGGTTTTAAAATAATAAATTAATTATATAAGATTAAGTTTAATTATGATAAATAAAATATTTTTTATTCAATTTTACTTTTTTTCAATAATATTCAAATACATAATATAAAGGAATATTTGATGACAGAAATTCTGCATTTTTAAATTTTATTATAAGATTTCTATAATAAATATAGAAACAGATCAGAAACTATAATAAACAATTCTATAATTACACGCTCTTATAATTCTATAATTATGTAATGAATATGGAATAACATTCTTCTGAATCAATTTTTATATAATAAACTCATCGTTCACAAAATTATCGAAATAAATAATATTTATTTACATGTTTTATTAGACTTGTTTATTAGACATTTTATTATTTTATTATTATTTATTTTTATCTAATTTGCTTAAAATTTTAAGATATTCTATGTGTATTATATATTATTTGCAAATTTTATAATTATTTTTAAAAAGAAAAATTTAGAATTTTTACGCAAAAAATTGAGAAACTTAATTAAATCTCAAATTAATTAAAAAGAAAAAAATAATTATTATTTTATTGAAAAATTTCAAATGAATTATATTGAATAAATTATATTGAAAAGCACTTAACAAATGAATGTAGTTTCAAGAAAAATATATATTTTTTAGAACATTATAATCGATGAAAAGAGGAATTCACCGATATATAATGATGATTTTAAATTAATTTTAAATTTCAGAATTGAAAAAAATATTGTAATTTATTAAATTGAATTTTTTTTATCAGTTATAACATTAAATATTGTTCTTGAAAAAATTTGTAATCATCATTGATATTCACTTAAAAAATTTTTCTATAACATCATTATCTTAGTATTTTTTATTTTACATATTTTTTTGATATATTAATTTTTTTTAGAACGAAAGCATTATTCAAGCTGCATACGATATACTTTGGTACAATTTAAATCCGCGAAACAGTCGAATTATATTGCTGATTTTAATACAAGCTCAAAGACAATTAACACTTTCAGCTGGAAATTTTGTGACGCTTTCTGCTGAAACCTTTGCTAGTATAAGATTATTATAAAAATATTATTATTACAAGACATTTACAATTATAAGAACATATTTATAATGTTAAATATCTAATAATTATTATTAAAAATTAAGAAAAATCTAATCATTATTAAAAACTTTTTATATTGTTTAATTTATAATATAATTAATTTTTTAGATGCAAAAAGTTTCAGCTTCATATATTTCAATATTAACGGCGATGTATTAAAAAAAATAATTGTGCTAAAAAGAGATTATTTTTCTTTCTTAAAGTAAAACAAAACAATTATCGATAATAAATTTTCTTCTCTTTATTTTCTCTTCTTAAAAATTATTTGTATAATAATATTCAAATAATTTCATCTAATCGATAATCACATTGAGAAAAATTTAAATACGACACTCAAATGTACAACTATGTTAAAGAGATTATATTCTATCTATATCTGTATGATTTTATTTCATCTTTGATTATTGTAATTTTATTTAAGAAAAATTTTAATATTTTTTTTTATTTAGATTTGATATTCGTAATTAAAATCATAAAAATTAATTTAATTTAATATAATATAATTTATAATAATATAATTTAATATAACAAAAAAAATTCTTTGATTTCAACTCTTGAGAAATTACACTATTCGAGAAATTTTAATTTTTTTTTAATTTTGTAGTCTTTAAGGACATTCCTTTCTTTTTTAAATTTCAATATGCTGAATAGAAAATTGCAAATTATTTTCTCTAGAACCATCAATTTAAAAAAAAATCATTTAAAAAATTGCAATTTTTCAATTTTGAAATTATTTTACACTTTCAAAATAATCTTTATACAAAATGATTCTATAAAACAAAATATAAAATAATTATTAAATTCTAAACATAATTAAATATATTTAAATAATAATCAAAATTAAAAAAATATTCAAAATCTTATTTTCAAAAATTTTTACTAATATTCTAAGATTATATTACTAATATTTTAGATATTTAAGAAAGCAAAAGTCAAAAGAAAATCTAATCGCAGTATATAATAAAATAGATCTTTTTGCTAAGAAAAGAAATTATAATCTTTGCTATTTAGAGAAATTATAATCATTTTTATTTTTATTTTCAATAAAGAAATAAAATAATTTGCTAAAACATGTGGCAGCAATAATGATACTCAATTTTAATCGCCTGTTTTGTTCACATTGGAATCGTGAAGTATCATTAAATATCAATTGTATATACATATATACAATTTAGTTAACATCCAATCTTTCTATATCATAATGTTATATTATTTATTTTAAATGATGAATAAATTCGATTTATAAATTCGATATCCAATGTTATTATACTAGCACTTTGTAATTGATCAGTATTTTCTATTAATAATTCGTTAACAAAATTATAACGAAAATTGTTGTAATGAAAACTTTTGCTCAAAATTATTTCTATAATCTCCAATTAATCGATATTCCTACATTTCTGAGATATTCTATGTACAAAATGTTAATATATATTAGATAAATATAAATAAAAATTTAAATTTGCCTTATTAAATGAGAATAAAATTCGACAGCGCTGTAATAAAGACAAGACAATTTTACTTTATTAGTTTTTCTTTTCTTTAACGCAAACTTCAATTGCTTATAACTTAATAAATATATTTCAACCGATATTTTCATTTATCAATTATTCTATTTCTTTCGATCTCTAGAATCGATCTTTGAATTTTTGTATTTTTCATATTTATTTGATGATAAAAATTTAATATAAAATTACCAATAAAAATATATATATATATCGTGCAATATTAAAATCATTTAATATAATAAAAACTCTTATTGAATGAAAATGGAAAAATTAATGGAAAAAACAATAAAAAAAAATATTGAAAAAGATATTGTTATATTGTATAAACCATTATGTAGATTGTGATAATATAATGATATTAATATAATGAAATAATTTCAGTGTGATAAAAATGATAATAATAAAAAAAATATTATATATGTAAATCTCACACAACCTGAAACATTTTTTATCATCGTATTCAAGATATTTGAAAGAGAGTTTGAATAATTTGCAGCACAATAAGAATGTAATCCTATTTAATATTTAAAAATTATATATTTTAATTTTTTAGTTAAAAAATATAAGATTCTTAAATATTAGTATAATCAAAAATTAATTTTACTTCTATTTAAATAAAATATACTTAATATAAGAAGATATTACGAAATTATATTAATACAATTGAAAGGAAATGAATCTACTTGAAAAAAAAATCAAAAGTATACATTTTTTCGTATTCTATTTTATTTTCGAATAAATCGATTGAGACTATAGAGAGAATATACACTTGGCTATATTGTACATTATTTTTTGAATATATTTGTATTTATATATATAAATTTATCATCATCATTTATCATTATTTCTTATTATTCCTTCAAATTTTTAATTAATAATATTAGGCATTATTCTTTTTATCAGAATGATGACACAGTGAGAATTAAGAATGCATCGATGTATATATCTTATTTAAATTGCTGATATCCAGATAGAATAATAATTCAAAAAATTAAATGGAAAAATATCATTTTATCTTTTTGATTTATTTTTTAATAAAGATTTATCTTTTTTCGGTTTACACTATCAATTATAACATTTTGTAAAAAAAAATAATTCTATTATTCAAAAATTTTCTTATTTGATTGTTTTATTTTCTTATTAATACTGATATAAAGAACTAATATTTCTATATTTATTTATATATTTTATTTATATTATTATATATTTATATTATATATATTATTATATATTAATAAATATATATTATAATATATATTAATAAATAAATATATATATTAATTGATCTATAAAATCATTTCTAATAATTAACTATAATTAACTAAAACTAATTCTAGTATATAGATATATATAATTATTTATGTTTTCCTCAATTTACATCTGCTATTCTAGAATAAAAAATTAATAATAATGCAACAAAACACGATTTGATTTTGAACTTGAATATATATTTTAATATAACACAGCACAGTATGTAATATACGATTAATTAATGCAGTCAAACTTATTATATGTATGTATAATGTTGTATCCATTTACATATCTAACCATCTGCTGCAATGTATATCTTTTAGAAAGAAAGTCAGAAAAGAGGAAAGATGTGAAATTTGTATTGAATATATTGAAGATCCACAAACATATTTTTTAAATGTGTTACGTTTATGAGTAATATTGCGTGATACTTTTCCTTTGCACTTGTTGTGATTAATATCACAAATTATATAAATATATAATGCAACCAATAATTATTATCTTTCACTCAGGTATTATCTATTACTCAGGTATTAATTGCAGCACAAAACTTATTTCCTAGATTATTCTTTTCTGAAATGTTATAATAACTATGATTTATTAAATTCTTTGTGCATACAAAATAATTTTATTTACTGGCGATATCTGCAATGATTTAGTTATTTTCGAAATAATATAATAGTACTTTAGCATCCAATCTATCTACACATATGGCTTTATTCTAATTTAATTCTTTTTCATTCATAAAACATAATTCGTTTCTTGAAATTATGTTGAAAAAAGTGACATCAGAGAAAGTCATTTACATTATTCGACTCAGCGTATCTATATGTTGTTGTTGGTCCTTTCAATAGTACCAAAAATCAAATTTTCGGTTTTAAAGTTTTATCAGTACAATATATCAGTACCATAATTAGCCTTCATGGTGTGTCTGTCTTTGTTATATTCGATTTATTTACATAATGACAATATCATCCATGTATTCAAATGCATTTGTTTGTCAGTAGGTATTACTCAACTTATTATCCAAACTCTTATATATTTCATCAAATACAACTCATTACAAGTAAGTACTTAACTTCTCTCAATATTTGAATGAGAAATATATATGATGTATATATAATAAATAAAAAAAGAATTGAATATATTTAAATGAAATAATTTTACTTTAATTTATTTAAAAAAATATAGAATTATATTTGTATTTAAAATCTTTTTCTTTAGAATAATGTTAGATTCTTAAAAAAAAATTTATAAATTTAATCATAGACTAATATATTTGTAAGATATAACATCTTTTGAAGGATTGATTCTAAAAGTCAAATACATATAGAAATATAAAAATGACAATTAAAATTTATTCATTAAATTATGAACAATTGAAATTTGCATTAGATTAAGCGAAATAAAAAGAAATTAAGACTGCTTCGTTATATTATAATTATATTTTGTTTCTGTCTTTTTAATGAATTTGATTTACTTATAATTTACGAATTTTAATTATTTATAATTTAATAAATATATTAATTTTAATTGACATTTTAATTGACATTTTTGTTTTTTACAATCAATTTTTATATTTATTTTAGCAATTTAATATATTAATATGCTACATTAGAATTTTTTTATTTATTTATATTGCTTTTCTTATCATACTCTTTCATATTCTATAACTATATTTTTTCAAAAAATAAATAACAAATAAATCTTTCTTGAATTTTTTTTTTAATTTTTTTGTATATTTTCTTGAATTTAAAATATTCAGTCCTTTTTTATCCACATCATACTTATAAAGATATGAATTATTGTATTTTCATCATATTTATTATATTATTATATATTATTTTATATTATATATAAAATATACATTATATAATATTATATTATATATATATTATATATTATATATAATATATAATTATATATTATATATTATTATATATTTATATATTATTATATTATTAATATATTATTATATATTTCTAATTCATTTCATTACATATCTTATATGCTTGAGTTATATTTTGAAATTCTGTGCTCTTTGTATTATTCATATATTTTTAAAAATAATTTAAATCAATAATTAAATACAATAGCATTAAAAGCAATAATAATATTATTAAATTAATATTAATTATAATATATTTTAATATATAATATTAAAATTAATATTAATATTTGATGCTGTGTATTAAAATATTTATTTTAATGTAAATTAAATAATAAATTTATTTCATGAAATATTAAATAAATCATTTAATTACAAATTTTCTATAGAACAATTTACTTTCTATAATAAAATATATTCATAATAAATATATTCATAATAAAATATTCATAAAATATTTGTATTATTTCAAAAATGAACTATTTCTTATATAATTTTATAAAATTTCTTAT